CTCTTTCCGATTTCTGTTGTTCTCTCATTCTCTTATTCTACCGTCTCTCGTAGCCCCTTCCCTCTCTCCCTTCGTTCCTTCCTATCTGAGTCCATACATCTTTGATTCCCCCTCTTCTCCTCTAGCCATGTCGCTGCCTCTGACACCCTCCCCGACCCTCTCTGACTTCCTGACTCCCTCTCTGTTTCTTCTCTCTGCCTTCTGTCTCTCTTTCCCTCGCTGACTTCTTCCCTCGCTGACTCCTTCCCTCGCTGACTTCTTCCCTCGCTGACTTCTTCCCTCGCTGACTTCTTCCCTCGCTGACTCCTTCCCTCGCTGACTCCTTCCCTCGCTGACTCCTTCCCTCGCTGACTCCTTCCCTCGCTGACTCCCTCCCTTTCTGACTCCCTCCCTCTCTGACTCCCTCCCTCTCTGACTCCCTCCCTCTCTGACTCCCTCCTTCTCTGACTCACCCTCTCCCTCCCTCACTCATCTTGTCTTTTCCTTCTTCCGACTCTGATATCCTCCCTGCCTCAGATTCACTCTACCCTTCTTTCTGTCTTTCTTTGAATCAATTTCTCTCCTTGGTCGCCGTAGAATTATGTATTGCGTTTTGTCATCTGTGCACTCGCAGTACTGTTGGGGCCTTTCCAGACGACGAAAATGGAGAACCAATCCAAAACTATGAATGGATGCCCAAATGGGCCTAAGGATGGATGTGGGATAAGTAATGCGGAAGGAAGTTTGCCGTACAGTTTGTAGACCGTTGAAGATTAAACCCTCACATCTGGTTGGAAATTATGTGAAGAAATCACAACCGATGAGAGCACGCGGTTACTATAATTCTCATACAGGATGTGGAGTCGCCTTCTACAGCTGTTTAGCTTACGTCGATTATTCTCTATTGCCGCGGGTCTCAAATTTGGGACCTCCCGGTCTTTTTAGCATTCAGTAGCGGTCTCAACTGCAAATGCTATCCGCAAATAAACCCGTTACCATGAGATCAAGTGCTTTCAAAATGATATACTGAAAGGGAAAACCTTAAATGGTCTGTATACGAACTCACGAAAACGAATTGAGGGTACGGCGTCCTCTGTTGCGAATATTAATGTAGCATGGTGCGGCTGTCGTACAGATTCGTGCGTAATTTTACATGTACTTAGATGCACATGCATGATTTTAATTTAAAAACGCGTACATTAGCACAAGTACACGTGGACGTCGTACACATCCGAATATAATATATCCCCTTTCATAAATAAGGTCAATGAACCCCTAAATTAGTACCAGATTATTGACTAATTACTTCGTTTTCCTGACGCGTTAACTGCCACACTTACTTGCCATTAGTCTCGTAAATGTATTGCCTTTATTTAGCGCGTTAGGTGGCGGTGTCTTTCTCCGCTAGATGGCGACAAGCAGAGCAGACCTACTTGTCGGCTTGCGAGCTTTTCCCCATCCAGATATCTCCCAACCAGCAGGGCACCGCCCCAGACGCGACAAGCTCTAAGATACCGACTGTACCGGCATATGTGATAGTGTAGTGCATGTGAGTGTAAATGTATGTATGTAAGGGCAAAGGAGAAGGAAGGGAAAGGAAAAATCGCGTGCGGTCTCTCCCTTTGTTAGGGTACTGCTCCGGCATTGACTTGGTGTTGATGGAAGAAACAGCGGAAAAGTACCGATCTGAGCAGCCGGCCTCTAGAGTTCACCTCCAGACAGCGCCTAAATTTGACTTAGCTATCTAGCTCGTATTGATAACACTACCACCATCTGGACTCGGGTCCCAAAACCACCCGATCAGAGGCACTGTAGTGACATCAGTTCCTGGCCTGATCCACATGAGACGGTCTGAAATTTCTACAAGTCACCTTCATTGTCACTCGCTGTCAGCACATTCGAACATTCAGCGTTGTTGCAGAATCACAAAACCGCGCGGAATTGAGAGTTTGCATTGCCGCAGGGTGTGTTTCCCTCGCAGCCTTATTGCACGTACGGCCGTCTCCTCGGACCGGTCTCTTGACCTGCGCAGGCCGATAGCCACTCAGCTCGTAACGATTTGTTGACGATCGTGAAAACAAGCCATTTCCTCCCGCGAAGTCGGCCACGCAGAGAAAGTCATTTCGTCATGAATGGTTCTCGGAATCAACTTGCACAACATACTAAAATAACCGGTGATCTCAATCGTGCCGAGGCGGTAAGAAGGGTTCATTAAATTGATAATTCCTCATAAATTCTCTAAGAACAATGAGATTAATCAGAAACAAGACATTTATGCAGGTTATCAGCCTGAGAAGTAGATCTTAAACTCCGATTTACTTATGGCAATATCTCATTATGTCGGAAATAAAGCACATTAACGTGCTTATTCACCGTTGTGAATCCAGGAATTATCAAGAAGTTGATCACGTAAATAGAAGTAAGAGACATGGATGGAGTAACATCTGTGATCTGGGTAAGAAGTCATAAAGAGTCTTAAGAGTTTTTTTCAGTTCACTGGTCATCAACATCCAACTTTTTTAATATTTACTTCAGTTCTATTAGTTTTGGAATATTTCAGACATTTTACACTTGAAGTATTCAAACCAAAATACCAGGTTGGAGAGCTATACTGTGGGTTCACTCAGTAAACGGTGCTTACATTCTTTCTTATCATCACACCCAACATTTTGACGTTTATAAAAAATTGAAGACTGCAGGAATCATTTTTAAAGACTTCTTAATTAATCCGTAAATGAAATGATACTTGTAGATCACACTTCAAGTCTTCTAAGAGGTAATACTGCCTAGTTTGTAATCTGTCTGCCCCTCTCTATCTCTCTCACTCTCACTCTCTCGCTCCTTTCTTCTCTATTAAGTGACCTTTTCTATGTACCACTGTATTAATCTATCAACTGTGTTATCCCTATGTCATCATAGTCGGAAAATTAAACATCTCATGGGACATTTTACATACTGTTTTGAGCTTGAAAATCTTGAAAAATTGTTTCATCTTTTATTGGATCACAGAATTCACCTGCAAAACCGTATTCTATTATTTCACTTGAATAATCATTTTTCTCTTCAAAATTGTCTGGTAGAATCAAGTTTCAATTACACGTAGTACTATATATAATAGACGCGACACATAAAATTGTAGTTGCGACATGGCTGGGCCAGCTTTTGAATTGCAGTTGCAAAAATAACTTGATTAATACAACTATTATGTAGTTGACCGTCATGAAATATAATTGAAGGAGTAAGTTGTAATGTAAGGCCTTGACTCAGTTACATTTTTTTGCAATGCTATCTCTCTTTCATTAACGACTGTCATTGTAAAGTTGTATGCCTTGAGAGATATTGACAGTTCACAAGATCGACGACTGACAAAACATTTCCTTGAGATGTTAGACAGACTTGGTATTAATAAATGAGTATTAATTGATTGAGTGGAACATGTGTAATTGTCACTACATTACAAGCAAAAAAAGGACAATTTCACGACTTCTTTTTGGAGTTACATACCTGGCATATGTTTATAACTACGTTTCGCAGATTCTTTTCGTTCTTTCTTTCCTAGCAATTTCGTAAATACATGAATGATAATATGAACAATATTTTAGAATGCTTAGTACTTTGTACATTCGTATTCCAATATCTTATGCGAGAATCGAGCTTACGACTTTTGGTTTTGGAATATTTTCCTTTCGTTTTAAATGTGTTCTCCCCTTATTTTCATTTGTCTTCATATTTTTCGTTTCTTTGCGGCATTACTTAAAGTTTTCTTGATTCGAGGTTTTTAATATTTCTTCACTGAATTTAATATTTTCCTGTGCTGAAGCACGTTATCGTCTACAACTCAGAGGCGTGTATCGTGATTCTAGGCTTGGCAGTCATACGCTTTTGAGCTCTTAGTAACTGGGTTAGCAGGACACGAGACCTTTCATAGGACAATATACGCGAAATACAAGGACCAGCACACTGCATGCCCAGGAATTTAAACCAGTTATCCTTCATATTACACCCTACACACTGCCGTCTCTCTCTTTTTACCTCCCTCCCTCTCTCTCGTGTCCGTGTGTCTGTATTGCGTACGGTTTTTGCAAAAAGAATTTCTAAAAAAGTGAACACAAATGTATTTTCGTAGTAATATTTGAATACGATGTTTTTCTAATACTCTTTGTAAAATATTCAAGTTAAACACAAGCATGTAGGCCTAAGTATTGGAGGTCGCAGTAATAAGAAATCTCACATGAAGTATTTTTATCGCTAGTTCCATAAATGTAGTGCAAGTTGTATCCGGAAGGTGGTGGTGTGCCTCTCAGCTGGAACGTGAAATCCGGCGAGGATATGCGGCAGCTTGCAAGGTTTCTCCCTCCAGGTATCTCCCCCAGCGCGGCACCGTCCCAGCCGGCATCCACATTGATTAGAGAAGTCGCAAAAAACTAGCAATCAGAGCAGCTCACCGCCACAATTCTCCTCCACACTGCCTAAATTCGACAGCTAAAATAGCCCAATTGTCAAAAATACGCCGCCACCGTCGGGATTCGAAACCAGGGCCTCCCTGTTAGCGTCGCTACAGCGGCCACGAATGTTGTCAATGATCATTTCTGGCGGTGACTGCTTTAAGCTTTTAGAGACGTTTCACGTGAACATCCTCATCCTCTCTGTCTGTCGGTAGGTGCTGGAGTTCTTCAAGCTGCAC